TTGCCACCATCATTGGCCGTATATAGTGTGTCGTTGACATCATTAATGGAAATATCGAGTACATCAATGATGGGTAAAGCACTGAGCTATGTGTTTTCAAACTAAATGACGACATTTTTAATAGGATAAGAGTTTAGTTCAGTAAGTCAATGAATTGTACAAGTAAGAAGAAGCAAACAAACGAGCTTGATATTATAGATAGATCTTTACATTTATTTTAAATATTACAAATTGAGGAAAACACGTTTTACTTTAGCATAATGGACTGAGCTGTGATATTTTCAAGATGTCAGTAAAATTATCATACGAGTATTTTACCTATATTTTTGGAATCAAGGCTTCAGCAGCATACTGTGACTGTTTCTTCTTCTGAATGAGTCTGTTATGTGAAAGAATGAAGAAATATGTTAAAGAGTTACAAACAACTATGATAATATTAACAAAATTTTAGAGAAGATTCAAAGCAAAAGGGAAGAACGACTTTCGTGGTAAATGTGCAATTTCTCTTGAACCTTTTTCTGATTAAAAGTATTTAATGCGTAAAATCTGTCTCTTCTATTCCACATAAACTAAACTAGATCCTACTCTGAACCTGGCGAATTCTTGCACAGGCGTGAATGAAATACCAGCACAAAAGAAGTATAAAAAATAATCCTTTAATTAGGTCCAAGCAAAAACAGAGAGGAACGATCTTCGTGCTTTACAATAACTTGCGGTGAAACTTAAACATAGAATATAAATCAATTCAAGTCTAATTAGAATAGCGCTAGATTAACAAGCTAAAGTATGGCTAACTTAGGTTGACTCAACAAAACATAGCAGGTATGACACTTATCCGCAAATGGCCAAGAGGCAGCGAGCTAGCAACGAAACGTGCGCTGGCTAGCGAAAACACGCTCTGAGTAAACTTAGGGATTCAGCCGCTTTAATACTCACTTCACTCAATTCTAAACTTACATTCTGGCGATTAAACGCGAGAGGAAGTTAAGGAGTTCAGGAAAGGTATCAAACTTAAAATATTTTTTTATGCAAAATAAGTGAAACCCTACAAATGTGACATTTAAATTTTCATTTTCAAATGTTATTGTTACTGGTATACTTCTATGATCTCAAGACGTTTTTTTATTCCGTAATCGTCGTAGAATAATACCTGCTAATTGGGGAGAATTTTGTTACAGTGTCCTTTAAATTGTACTTCCCATTAAATAATATTTTATACTTCTGTCAAGTCTTCTCAAACAGTCTATAGTAAGAATTATTTAAATATTCTGATACCAAAAATATCACATTTAATACTCTCGTCTTTTTTTCTTTGTAATTATAAAATAATAATTTTTATATTTTGTAATTAAAATAAAGGAATTATAAATTTTTTTTTTTTCTTTGTAATTATAAAATTCACATATTTTACTCATAAAAACGTAAAATAAAGTTTTAAAAACATCTTGTAATCTAAAAATTTCAGATTAATTGAGTAATAACGATGTACTTAATACATGTAGGAATAATATGAAGAAAAGCCATATCCAAAAAACAAAGAGTTTAGATTAGGGAAAAGTAATTTACGAACTCTACATGCAATAAGCTTTCAACTGAACATAAATATTTAACTACTTATTTGCTTAGTTAATAGAAATAGTTAACATATCAACTTATAATAAGATGTAATTATTTGTTCAGAAAAGCAAAGCGAACGAGATTTAGAATTTATTATATAATTACTGAAATCGCTGCACATATTCATGACTAATATATCCGCTTACATAGCTAAAATTTCTTCAATAGACGAATCTGTTAATGCTTCAGTAGAAAACAATTTAATAAGCATAAAATATTGCATGTATTACAAAGATATTAAATTTTAATTGAATAAATCGCTGGTTCCAACGTGTAGGTCTTGAGCTACAAGCGGTAACGAACAGTTTTGAAGTCCATCTCGTTATGTAATATTATACATTTATTTTTTATTGTTATAAATAAATATTCATTCATACGTCCATATTTATATTTTTAAATATTTCTGCTTTATTAATAGCTTCTTAATTCCTCATTTTTAATTTGGGTATATATTTTTTTTTCTCTATTCTAAAAATAACATTTCTGGACTGCGTCATTTCTAGATTAATCTAGGCCACAAAGCTTGCGTAACGCTGATGACGTAGGTAACAGCGAACCTAGCTCTGAGAACTGAAACCTTTCTATCTTAAACCGTAACCTTTCTATTAGCAGACTGTCATAATGGATAAATGCGTACTTGAACTTCTCCCTGTGTGCTGCTTGGACGAAATTTTGCTGTGCCCTCGTCTTATCGCAACAGTATCAAAAATGTAAATGTTCTGAAAATAGTTGCTATAAATGTGAATTTAAATAAAAATGGAATTAAAACCTACCTTTGACTGCCAAATTTCTTATTCATTGAAGAATCAACGTTCTATGCCAAACAACATTGCAACGTTTCTACGTCTCAGTGTTCCTACATCACTACGTCTAAAAATTTGTTTTCATTGCGTGTATATATAAAATTACAAAACAGTTTTTTAAAAAACAAAATATAGTCATGCCTAGCATTTTCGCACATTAAGCTACTTAAACATTATCAGTAAAGACAAAAAATAAGAAATTTAGAATCAGTTTTTCATAAAGACCAAAAATTGAAATTCTGAAATGTATTACTTATGAATTTCAATTTTTGGTCTTCGTGAAAAATTAGTTCTAAATTTCTTACTTTAAATAAATATATATATAGGTACATAAACAAAAAGAAACACAATAAGAGGCAAACGTAAAAGCAAATTTTGCGCTATAACAACAGGATTGAAGTAAAAGTCTTTATATCCTTACGTCTCTCTATCTCTCTCTCTCTCTATATATATATATATTTACTAAAGAAACATTGATTATATTATCTCCTAATATAAATTTAGTAGAAGTATCAAAAAAGAGGGTACCCATATGTAGGAAGTTGAATTCCGAAAATTGTGTTTTAAAGTAACTTGAATGTAAATTATGAAAAAACGTTTTACGGGGACTTGAATTTAACTCTTGAATAACAAAATTTTAAACTTTGAAAAAGAAATTAAAAATTAAAAACAAGTAATTATCGCTACTGATCGGAAATTAGTTGACTTTTCAAGGGGATATAAACCAACTCAACAATAATTAATAAATGCGAAGGTGTTTCGTCTTTTACTCAAGTAAGAATGATGATGCCAAATTGGCAAATTAAGTTAGGCCAAAATTCTAGTTCCGTGAAGTGAATATATATATATAGGTCGTGAAGCTAAGATTTTGGGAACCATTGGAAGAAATTTCATCCATACGAAAGCGCCATAGAGTTTCCTCTCTCTTTGATTTTCACATTTATAGTGTTCTGAATACAGAGTTTTACTAACTAAACTATAGAAGCTAAACATTTCGCTCAGTTAGTTCATCCTATTCATCAAAGAAAATAACTCTTGCGAATTAAATTTTATTTCAGCTGACGACTTAAATAGTCTTTATTAATAATTTTGAAACCGTTAAGCTATTATTAATGTATCTAAAATTAAATTCCTTAAGAATTAGTGTGCTTCCATAATATATAATGAACGTCTGTTCTCATCTTATGTTGTAACATTCACATAATTATTTCAGAAATATCAAGACTGTATGGAAATTTATGTAACTGATGACTCTAGATTTTGACTTGAAGACAGAGCCTCACTTCTCCGTATATTTAGGCACTCTAAAGACACCAGACTTCAAATAATTCCTGCTTAAAATAATGATTAACTATTTAACGTGCATGAATTGTACGCCGGAAGCCCGGTGGCTAGCGCATAGCGCAGCAGCACTACAGGTCCGGAATTCGATTCCCGGGCTGGGCAAGATCGACTCAGGCTTTCATCCCTTGATTTCCATCACTTGGGTAAATAAAATGAATACCAAGTTCGCTTGGGGGCTAAACACTGGGGGTCCTGCGACAAGCTGTCCACTTGTTCAGGTCATATGCTTAAGCACCCTGGGGCCCACGGTCCAGAAAGCAGATTTTCGTGTACTGCAGGCCTTGGCTCAATTGATCTGTTACGCCGTGAGTCACAGAATTCAGCAATTACTGCCTTTCTATTAATTAGGTAATTACTGCTAAATATAAGTCTGTAAATATGTACAAATTAAGAACTTGTAATGCTTCACCGAATGCCTAAATGCAAACACAAACAACATTTCATTAACGAAATAATGAATTTCTAAATGCACTGAATAATCTCATCATTTCTTTCAAGTTCGGCGTTTTAATGTAGTAAACTTTTAAACCAACAGTGCATGAACAAAAATACTTTTAAATGTATAAAACTGACTTCTTAAGAAAAAACGTTACGCAGACTGATATTCAAAGCGTATTTTTAAGCTAATATCATGTTTAAATCCAAATACGAATGTAATATTAGCAATCAAATTAATTCATACAGGATAAAATATATATTCATAACACATGTTATCACTTTCAATACGTCCAATTATAATTAAATTGTGGAATAAATATCTAAACTATTTAGTAACCTATTTCATTTTAGTAACAACCCCTGCCGTGACTTGTGCACACAACAACAAAAACAATGATCGATTGTAATTAGGTATCACTGATTCATTGTCTAAGAATGAACAAGAAAGAAAATGTTAATTCGGATATTTGCAGCAAATAAGACTTAAAAAAATAAGATTTGAACCAATTATTGTTTTTGGAAAGAAAAGCTGCTTTTGTCAATCGGACAGCATCACGAGCTATTTATTGTATCTGTTTACTGAGGTATAAGAAAAAAAGGTGATCCATATAATTTGCTTTGCGATAATACGTGCCGATAAATGTCACTAAATGACCGCGACATCGCTGCCGATAGGGCTGACCCGAAATCACTCCACTTCGAAATGAGGGAGAGCAAAAAAAAAAAAAAAAAAAATGACATTTTTACATCAGTATAGGGATTTATCGAGAGGTATATAAGAGGAGAAATTCATTTTTACCGGAAGTGTCAAAGTTTTCAAGTTTTGTGGATAATATTCAGATTAGCAGCTGGCCACAGGATATATCTTCCAGATCATGTTGAAGGTGAGGTTAACAAAACATCATTTTCTGCACGGACTTAAAAGTTATGTTTTGTGAATCGTGAGTGTACGGACAGCTAATCAGCATGTGGAGTACTAGTTTAGATATTATTCATGAAAGCAAAATTTTGAAATTGCTGCGTAAATAGAAAATAGGCCTTACAATATAATGCAGTTAATATTATAAAATAGCAGATCTGTAAGACTCATTTTGAAAAGAAAAAATTCAAAAATTGTTATTGTTTGCTTATATAAATGTGCATGATATTAAAGCAGACCAAACAACTTTTTAAAACGAGAATATTTTATTCAATAAACCCTGGCAAAATTATCTAGTATTACGGACAACTACACGTTAAGACTGGTTAAAAGAAAATCTTGTCGCTGTTAGTCTTCAATCGTTTACTAGCGGCTGAATGTGTTAGGTGTATATAGCGTAGTAGTTAATACGAACAATTATTATATTTATTCCACAATTTAATTATGAATATATATTTTATGTATTCGCGTTTAATCAAATTTTTCGCTTGCTAAACAAACCCACCAGCGGTCGAGCGGTAAAGACTCTGAACACTGGTAGTTCGGTCCAAGGTTCGAATCCCGCGAACGGGCTGGCTGCGTGGGAGTTTTCGTAGTTTACCCCATCTGTAACGTGTATACGAGCCAGTTTCCCTTAGAAAGTCCTCCTTCCCCTTAGGCAGATAGCCATCGTGTGCTTTGCCATAATTGAATAATCCCAATCCCGTTTGCTAAATAATGCGAGTACCATAAATCGTAACATTTTTAAAATGTTCTGTGTAGGGGCGTTATAGTATTAACAAGAAGATATATTTAAATTTTTGCAGAGAAATCAAACGTCTTGCTTGATTTAAATATTTTTCTTTTTTAATTTCACGAGCTTAAAAATTACTCAAAGTTTCACTCATTTTATAAAAAAACTTTTTTTTATAGAAAACTACTCTTTAGACGATATTTGAATTTCCAGGTCAATATTTTTATTAAAATTTTAGCATTTTAAATACTTATATTCATCACGATGTGAGTGTACCAAATAAATGTGATTCTAACATTGATAATGAAGAGTTACTGATGTTCTTTAATGAAAGGGAATTTCATTAAAAATATTTAAAGTAGGAAATAGATTGATTATCAATGAATCTGATTAAATAATCTGATAGCAATTAGTAGCTACTCATTAAAACACCTGAATACTTCTGGTTCCCAAATGCCTAGTTTTTGTAATAAATTCATGAAAGAACATAAACAGGATATTTCAAACATGTATCCATTATTTGTGTTATAGGGAACGAAATTAATTGAAAAGATTTGTCAAAGAACCGATTTATCAATTATCTAGAACTCAGGGCACTAATATCAGTAATCTTATAAAGTTTTATGCTTACGTTATAACATCACAATCCCAATTAAAAATAAAACGTCTGGAAAAAATTCATAGAATAATTTTACAAAGAGTAAAATTTAAATTTTGTATAAGTTATCGTTTTTGTTCCTTTATGGAATTTTAAAGGTTAAGTTTAAAATTCAGTAGTTTCGCCCTTAAGGAAAGCTAACATAAAATCTAAAAATTTATAAAGTACAATCTCTCATTCTGTAATAATGTTTTCATAAAAGAATAACCTTAGCATTTATTTATAATTTATGAAATATACAATCCTAGCCATGGAAACTAAGTTTGAGCTACTATACAGGCAGAATTTAATATCGATAAGTAAACTGAACAAAGAATTTCAGGAAGAAAAAGCAACTGGATGTTCTTTTAACAATGTGAAAAATTTGAAACACAAGTAATTCTACAATTATAAAAAATCAAAATAAACTTTTTTATTTATTTATTTATTTATTTTGTGTTTTGTAAAAAAAACGCAGATTTTTGTCAGAATAGCTTTTTTTTTAATGTTCAATAAAAGTTTTTAAAGATGTTTATATAACTCTATGTTTTAACTGAAGCGCTGCGAAAGATAGAAAATTCAGATTTCTTTTATCAATATTTCTTTTTCTTTAAAAACAGGTTTTCGTTTTGGTCACGGTGTTAGCTGTTGTATTGGCTGATCACCATCATCACGGCTACGATCACCACGATGTAAGTATATTATTGACATCATTTCATCTTCATACGCAAACTGTGATATTGTAATATGATAGAAACATGATTTTACACGTATTGTGATACTGCAAAAAAATCCTGAAATATTATTTTCCATATCTATTTCGTTTAAATAGAAATTCATATGTCATTAAATATTGTGCCAGGAAGCCATATTGTTTTCCTATATTAACTAAAAAAATGTATTGACTTCTTCAAATTTAAAGAATGTTTGAACTCATGGAAACTTGTGACATTCTGATACGTTAATCACTGCATTTTCTTGTGTTTCAAGGAAGAATTCTAAACATGCATACATAAAATTCTTATAAGAGATACAATTTGCGTAATAAGTAGAAATGATTTTCGAAAAAATGAAATGCACTATGCTGAATGAATCTACCTCCAAATAATTCTCTCTGAGCTGCCATTGCTTTATTTACATGATTATTAGATTTTCTTTGGCAAACTTCTTCTAAAATACATGATTATTAGACTATTTTTTCCGCAAACTTCTTTTAGAATACATCATCATTACATTTCTCTTTGGCAAACTCGGTAGGTCGATAAGAAAACGTAATTTTCGTTGCGTGTTTACAATCTATTCATAATATAAAAATTAACCTCAGATGCGTCTTTCATTCTGTAAATAAATATCCTTAAATAATTACTGTACTATATTATGCATTACGATTTTGGGGCATAATTTATAAAATTAGAAATGTCGGAAACCTAGGAACAACTACTCGAAGATGCGAATGGAAAGAAAAAAGTGAAATAGGAATGAAAAATACAATAAATTTTTTTTTAAAATCTGAAAGGTTTCAGAGATTTTAAATTATGTCCAAAGGGGCATTTTTTAACATTTTCTGTGTTACCTTTATTTATTAAATATCATGTTCTTCGCACTTAAACCATAAAATTCAATTCAAGAGCAATATCGCAAAATAGTTTTAAGATGAGCATATCTTTAGAACAAACGATACACAGTCTCGCGCGCTGGCGATAAAAATGTTTGTACTGTACAACGTTGCCATGGCTCGTTTTGAAAGCCTTCAGTTTGTTAATCAAAAATTCGTTAAAGTTTTACAAAATATGAAATCGATAATAAAACAAATGCCAAATTTCAAATTTGGGCTTTCAGATGCCCATATTCGCATGAGGATTACGTTATTCAATATTGGATGGCTCTAGGTAGCGTTTTTTTATCACAGTGCTAAAAACATACATACATTAATGCAGATTCTTCATTATTTAATTTCTTTAAATATAATACAGGGCGATAATATTGGGTGGCAACAATTTGAAAAGTGAAATAATGCTTTACTAATTCAACGCAAAATGCCAAAACGAAATTAATTGTCCTTCTGGTTTAATTGCCCTTTTGCACTAACAATGACTAACTAAAATGAAAGGTAAAAAGCTAAATACATAGTAATTAATCAGCAACTAATTAAATAAAATAACCTATAAATTGGTGAGTAGGCTGCTAATTTGCTTAAAACACTTTTGAGGGGATGGATAGCTTATATGCTTCCTGGTGAGATTGTATTTTGACATGAGGCATCCGTTTTTCTAGTGTTGAAGTTTTCCCTCAATATTTTTCTTTGTCAAGTTAAGTGATCCGTACAGCTGCTAATTTGTATCAATTATAGTTTTTATGATTGTAATCCATCACTATAAATTTTTATGCACTTCCTTGTAAAATAATTCGTTATCCTATTCGTTCATTATTGCTTTTGTTGTGTAAGTGATAATTTTGAAACATGCTGTTCAATTTCATAATTTTTTACCATTAAATTTCTGTATTTAATATTACAATTATTTGAATTTTATTATGTAGTTCATCTTATTTTTTATCAATATTTTTAACAAATGCACACAGACAAAATCATAAAATTATTATTGTCAAAAACTTTTAAATGACTTGAAATTTACATTTTTAAATGAAAATCTAGAAATTGAAAAACTAGATAAATGGCATTTAAGATAAACTATTCAATAAATAGGCGAGTGGTTTTTAACTGTTTTCAAACAAGAAATGACCTGGAATAATACATAATTTTTTCAGTTACATCAAAAAAGTGATGTATTAATAATAAAAATTTCAGCTAATATTGTGATTCCATTGTGCAATAACGTATCGTAATTCATATAGAATTCTAGCAACCTTCGGTTGAAACTGCAGTCTGGCTGAAAATTCGAAAAGTCTGTGGTTGTGTTTAAGCCGTTAAAACCATTTACAGTTGTCATTGTCTAAACTCCCTTCAGCTCAAATAAAATCTGGAAAATAATGCATAAGTTTAAAAACTACTCTGATTCATACTAGATGGCAGCACAATGTTTCGCAGAAATGTGCAATTCATGGATCAAATGCATAAATCATTTCAGTTAATATTTTGACTTCAATAATTGGAAATTTTCGATAAATCGGAATTGAACATTATTTCCCAATGGAATATAGGATTTTTATAATGCGTCTACTTTTCGTAACAGAATTACTTTAAATATTCGAAGAGAACGTCTTTCAAAGAAAGCAGAAATAATTTTCTTGGTATTTCATTCTCGACAAGCCAAAATTTGATATTACGCTTCAGCCACGGAATCATGGTCTAAACCTCTTACGCTTTCATGACTTTCAGAGTCATAAAATGACTCAGATTAACAGAAAGTTTCTTATTTTACAAATCAGAAATCTACTTTCTTATATATATATATATATTTCCCGAAACGCTGTTATGGCGACTAGCTTTCATTAATTTTATTTAGATATTGTAAACTGATACATTTATTGAGAGAAGAAATATTGTAATAGTGAAATCAATCATACATCTGAAAGAAAAAATAATTTTATTGAATATATTGAAAGAAGAAATATTGTAACAATGAAGTCAATCATAGGTCAGGGAGGAAAAAAAATGAATCGCATTGCAGTTTTTAAATTTCTTTTCCTTCTTAGTGTTTCATACAACTTATGTGATTACCCATTTTACAGCAAATTCAGTTTTTAATATCAGCTTTACTGAGAATCTATTTTATTCTAAATTAAATTCATAAAAAAGAAATCTGAAAGCTTTTAGGGGGAGATGTTTTTTAACGTTTTGTGTGTTACCTTTATTTATTAAATATCATGTTCTTCGCCCTTGAACCATAAAATTTAATTCAACAGCAATATCACAAAACAATTTTAAAAAAGTATATCTTTTTAAAATATAGAATTTCCGAAACACAATCTCGTGCGCTGGAGATAATTTTTTTCCACTGTACAGTGTTGCCATCGCTCGCTTTGAAATCGTTGAGTTTGTTAGTCAAAAATTCGTTACAGTTTTACAAAATATGAAATCGATGATAAAACAAATTCCAAATTTGGGTTCGTCTCTTACTCGACGGATCAAAATGGCTTAATCTGGTTTGCTCTTAGGCCTGATCTTCCTGTAGCAGTTCAAACTGTGCGTAGTTTCTAATACTTCTACGAAACATATAATTAACACTAGATTTACGGGCCCCGTGATTTTGACGGATTTCGGACTCCATGAGCGAAAACAATTATTTTTATAGTTTTCTAATTTAGCTGATAATTATCGATGTAATAAGACGAATGCAAATCCAAATTTATTTCTCCTTCAGGTCGCCGTGGCGCAGTGGCTAGCGCGTCGCGCAGCAGCACCACAGGTCCGGGGTCTGATCCCCGGGTTGGGCAAGGTTAATTGAGCGAAGTGGTACTGTCAGTCGTATGGTGCTCAAGGCTGTTGCCAACGACAGGCGCAATCTTGCACACCTTGCCACGACGAATTTCGTGGGCTTGTACTGATGTCAATGTCAGACAAGTGAGATAATTCAGACAAATTTCTCTTTCAGCCTTTTACTTTCACAGCTCTGTATTAATGATGTTTACGTACCTCGTACTAGAATGGCGCCGACATGGATGACACAGTTTCGACTTTAAACATACTTAATAAATTCAGTCGACTCTTGCATTTAAATCAAACTGAAGACATTTAATAATATAACATTCACACGTAAACATTTAGTAATAATTCAGAAGTACAGATAAGCATAAAATAAGAATTACAACAGTTACAGGCCAGCTACGCTTTTAGCGACCGAATCCTACGAAACGGACAAATCTCAAAAGCGTGTTTGCCAACGCAGGGCACGAAAAAGGTAGAAATTAATTCGACAGGCGTGGAAGTGAACATACTCCCCACCCTATCAGGTTTAGTCCTAATACACAGGCAACGGTGAAAGTTTATTAATTCCTCTTTTGAAAACACCAGTTTTAGTTTTGACAGTGGCTACGCGAGCTAAGCCGTCCTTGCTCAAATGGACATCGATGATCCGTCCAATAGATCAAGCTAGTGGTGGAGATACATCTTCGATGATAAGAACCACCGTGTCGATTTTTAGATTGGGTCTGTTGTACTGCCACTTGGATCTCTGCTAAAGCGAAGTCAAGTATTCCTTTTTCCATCGCTTCCAGAATCCCAAACGTAGATTCTGTACAAGTTCCCACCTAGAACTCCTTGTGCGTAAAGTCTGATGGGTCTCTGGAAAGGAAGTTAAAGTATCACCTGTAATGAAATGAGAAGGGGTTAAAAGATTAATACAGTCAATATCAATATCGTTCACGTCAGTAAGTGGACGTGAATTCAAAATAGCCTCGATCTGGGTAAGTAGAGTTGACAACTCTTCGTAGGTTAAAAGAGTCTCTTTCAATACTCTTAGATGAAATTTCGCTGAGCGAATGCCGGCTTCCCATATTCCTCCGAAGTGGGGCGAAGCAGGCGGTATAAAATGCCATTCAATAGATGACTTAGTTAGTTCTCGGGAAACCGAATCCGTTGCATACAAGGAAGACCAAATCTGATTTAGTTCTTGTAGTTTTCGGCATGCTCCCACAAAATTGGTACCGTTGTCACTGTAAATGTGCCGTGGTGCACCGTGACGTGAAATGAAACGTCTAAGTGCAGCGATAAACGAGTCTGCCGTCAGGTCAC